TTTTCTAAACAAGCCACACTCCTTTGGAAACTTGAAGAAACAGTTCTCTGAGGAAGAGATAAAGAAAGGGAAATTCATTTCTCAGCAATAAAGGATTCCACATGCAGTTAAAACTGAGGGAGATGACTGGAATTATGACATTTCCTAACATTTTTCTTTCTCCAATATTTTCAGTAAGAGCCCAACTTAACAGAGTCATGCTGATGACTCTCCCTAAAGAAAAGAAGTTATAAAGAAATAATCATTTTGTTCCTCAAAGCATTGAGGTTACCTTAATTTTGGACAAGCCCACCTCAGTGTCATGTTGGTGAATCCCTACATTCTATGTATCTCTAGCAAATTCCTGTAGTTGGCATAAGTAGTATGATTTTTTTTTTTTTTTTTTTTTGAGACAGAGTCTTGCTCTCTCACCCAGGCTGGAGTGCAGTGGCATGATCTCCACTCACTGCAAGCTCTGCCTCCCAGGTTCAAGTGATTCTCCTACCTCAGCCTCCCAAGTAGCTGGGACAACAGGCGAGTGCCACCATGCTCGGCTAATTTTTTTTTTTTTTTTTTTTTCTGTATTTTCAGTAGAGACAGGATTTCACCGTGTTAGCCAGGACGGTCTCGATCTCCAGACCTCGTGATCTGCCCGCCTCGGTCTCCCAAAGTGCTGGGATTACAGGCGTGAGCCACTGCGCCTGGCCATAGTATGATATTTTTTTAAGGCCACCATTTAAACTATGGGTCTTCTAGAAATACACCAAAGACTATTTTCAAGAATCTTCTGCCTCATGAGTTATCAATTATTGCCTGGCAGATGTTTTAGGCTGAAACTACAGAGATGTATTCAAGGGGAGAAAACAAAACACAACCCTCAAAAGAGAAGGAAGGAAACAGTCCACCCAGCTGAGGGAAAAGGAATATGGACAACATTCCCTGGACACAGTCTCTCATACCAGGAAAAAAGGGGCTGAGGACCAAGCTCAAAACAGAGTAGAAAACTCAGCTATAGGCAGGCAGAGAAGAGTGGGAAGAAAAAAAAATTCAGATGATTGCCAAAGCAAACAAATAAACAAACCAAAAACATGACTTTAAACATTTAATACTGAACAGAACATTGCAGTTTGATAAAATGAAGTCTGGAAATAAAATTACAGGCATACCTCAGAGATATTGAAAGTCTGGTTCCAGATCACCACAATAAAGCAAATACTGCAGTAAAGCAAGTCATACAATTTTTTTTTTGTTTCCCAGTGCATATAAAAGTTATGTTTACACTATACTATAGTCTATGAAGTTTGTAACAGCATTATGTCTAAAAACACACCTTAATTTAAAAGTACTTCATTACTAAAAAATGCTAACAATCATCTGAACCTTCAGCAAGCTGTACTCTTTTTGCTGGTGGAGGGTACTCTTGCCTCCTTGTTGATGGCTGCTGACTGATCAGGGTGGTGGTTGCTGAAGGCTGGGGTGTTTGGGGCAATTTCTTAAAAGAAGACAACAACGAAGTCTGATCTATCAATTAACTCTTCCTGTCACAAAACATTTCTCTGTTGCATGCAATGCTGTTTGATTGCATTTTACCCACAGTAGAACTTCTTTCAAAATTGGAGTCAGTCCTCTCAAACCTTCCTGCTGTTTTATCAACTATGTTTACGGAATATGCTAAATTATGTGTTGTCATTTCAACAATGTTCATAGCATCTTCACTAGGAGCAGATTCTATCTCAAGAAACTACTTTCTTTGCTCAGCCATAACAAACAACTCCTCATCCATTCTAGTTTGATCATGAGATTGCAGTAATTCAGTCACATCTTCAGGCTTCTCTTCTAGTTCTCTGAGTATTTCCACCATATCTGTGATTAGCAGATTGGTGTAAAAGTAATTATGGTTTTTTTGCCATTAAAAGTAACGGCAAAACCCACAATTACTTTTGCACTGACCTAATACTTCCTCTACTGAAGTCTGGACCCCTTGAAAGTCATCCATGAGGCTTAAAATCAACTTCTTCCAAACTTCCTGTTAATGTTAATATTTTTACCTCTTCCCATAAATCATGAATGTTCTTAATGCATCCAGAATGATGAATCCTTTCCAGAAGGGTTTACTTTGTCCAGATTCATCAGAGGAATGATTTTCTATGGCAACATATAACCTTACAAAATGTAGTTCTTAAATAATAAGTCTTGAAAGTTGAAATTACTCCTTGATCCATGGGCTGCAGAATGGATGTTGTGTTAACATATATGAAAACAACATTCATCTCCTTGTACAACTCCATCAGAACTTTTCAGTGACCAGAGATATTATCAATGAGCAGTAATATTTTGAAAGAAATCTTTTTTTCCGAGCAGTAGGTCTCAACCATGAGCTTAAAATATTCAGTAAATCATGCTGTAAACAAATGTACTGTCATCTAGGCTTTGTTGTTCCATTTACAAAGCAGAGGCAGAGTAGATTAACATAATTCTTAAGTGCCCTAGGATTTTTGGAATGGTAAATGAGCACTGGCTTCAACTTAAAAGTCACCAGCTGTACTAGTTCCTAACTAGAGAGCCATCCTGTCCTTTGCACCTTTGAAATCAGACACTGACTTGTCCTCTCTACCTAGGAAAGTCCGAGATGGCATCTCCTTCCAATAGAAGGCTGTTTTGTCTACATTGAAAATCTGTTGTTTAGAGTAGCCTCCTTCATCAATGATCTTAGTTAGATCTTCCAACTAACTTGCTGCAGCTTCTATATCAGCACTTTCTGCTTCACCTTGCACTTACGTGTTAGAGAGATGGCTTCCTTTCTTAAAGCTTATGAACCAACCTCTGCTAGCTTGAAACTTTTCTTCTGCAGCTTCATCACCTCTCTCAGCCTTCACAGAATTGAAGAGAGTTTGGGCCTTGCTCTAGATTATGCTTTAGCTTTAGCAAATGTTGGGGCTGGTTTGATCTTCTATCCAGACCACAAAAACTTTCTCCATAACAGCAATAAGGCTGTTTTGCTTCCTAATCATTTGTGTTTTCACTGGAGTGGTACTTATAATTTCCTTCAAGAATTTCTCATATGCATTCAAAACTTGGCCAAATGGCACAAAATGCCTAGCTTTTGGTCTGTCTCAGCTTTCAACATACCTTCCTTACTAAGCTTAATCATTTCTACCTTTAAAGTGAGAGACCTGTGATTGTCCCTTGCACTCAAACACTTAGAGACCACTGTAGGGTTATTAATTGGGCTAATTTCAATATTGTGGTATCTCAGGGAATAGAGAGGTTGGGGAGAGGAAAAGAGATAGAAGAAAGGCTGGTTGGTGGAGTAGTCAGAACACATACAACATTTGTTAATTGAGTTCCCTGTCTTATATGGGCACAGTTCATGGCACCCCAAGACAATTACAGTAGTAACATCAAAGATTATTGGTCACAGATCACCATAACAGATATAATAATAATGATGAAAAAGTTTGAAATATTGAGAGAATTGCCAAAATGTGACACAGAGACACAAAGTGAGCACCCGCTGTTGGAAAAATGGCACCAATAGACTTGCTGGACAAAGGGTTACCACAAACCTTCAATTTGTTTAAAAAAAAAAAAAGCAGTATCTGCAAAGTGCAATAAAGCAAAGCACAGTAAAACAAGGTATGCCTGCACTTTTTTCTATGAACCCCTTAACATGTGACACAAGAGCTCACTAAAGAGTGATTTAATTCTTCAGAACTGACATATGGAACTTAGACTTTAGGCCTTAAAGAAAACAGTCCAGCTTCGGGAAAGTCCACTTTTAATTTTACGGCCAGAAGAGTTTTCTTTGGCCACTATTTTTACTTTGAAAGCTACAGTCACAAGAAACCATCTCTTTTTCCGCCGGTTTTCAAATTGTCTTGTTCTAGGTTTCACTTCACTGACAGGGATCTAGACAAAGAGATCAGCTTGTGAATATGATCATTCTTGACTTTCAGTTCTGTATTTTGTGCCCCTCTGCTCAAACTACGCCTCTCAGTTCTTCTCACTTGCTTCATTAAAATATTTTACATTTATTACTCTATTTAAAAAAAAAACACTTTTGTTATGTTCCTCCTTCACAGAAAAGAATGTGGCTACCTCAAACACTTTAATAGGATTCACTCATTTTTTATTACAGGAGGTTAAATAAAATTGGTATTATGATGGCCTCTGTATGGAAAATGTGTCGTTTTTAGAGTTCTGGCCACAGAAACTGACCTATAAAGGGCTTTCTAAAGGAGAAGGGTATGCCTGTGGAAAGTTCACAGCAAAGGGAGTTTGACTCTTCTTAAGGTATGAAGAGGAAGACAGGCTAAAGTCTCAAGAAACTTTGACTCAATAGGGGAAAGCTATCAAATTTCCCCAAACTTGTGCGATTTTGGTTAGCACATCACAGAGGTGATGAGCCGCTCCTGAGTGTGAAACCCACATCCCATTTCTGGGGAGAACTACGTAGTTGGTTCCTTCTACATAAAATATCAGAGTCTACATCCTGACACCCATAAGAAACCTCTCCCACCTCTCTCTTACTAACCTTTTCTTCCATTCTCAATTTACAATGACACACAATTTTGTTTCCCACAAGTACTGTACAACCAGAGACACACACACACACACTCACACATACATATATATTTCAGATACATACATATATATCTGTTTGGAGAGCAGGGAACGGGGGAGCCAAGGCCTGTTTGTATTCACACCCTCGGTTCAAATGTGCTGGGGTGGCTGGAGCTTTGACCACGCAGGAGGGGCCCGCTGGCAGCGCCAAGCGGCTGAACTGTGCGCCTTTTCATAAAGGCAGAGAACTGGGGTTAGCCACACTACAACCCTCCCACCTGAGGGAAAGGCCTGTTTGTTCTGGAAGGCACAGCCCAGCCTTATTTAACTAACTGCAAGCAGTTAATATAAGCATTCCCAAGGCAGTAGGCAAGCTCTAGTCTACGGAAGTAAAGCCATCGACTTCAGGAAGATTTCTCTAGTCTAGCATCCCGAAAGATGCAGCCCAGACTCCTCACCTGACGGTTAACCTGAAAACACCTGATCCTCTCTCTGGAATCCTTGCCTGGGGAAAACGATAAGGCTGACGGGCCATGCCTCCTCCTTCAAAACTTTGCAGGGCTCTCGGGATTCATAACAGGAAAAATTGTTCACGGCAGACTCAGTGCGCCGTCGCCGGAACGCGTCCGCTGAAGTTGGAGCCCTGCTAAGCGGGGTCCCCTTCTCTTACGCTTCCTGCCGGCCGCGCGGTGCGCGCAGACCCCGGCCCTAGGGCAAGCGCGAAGGTCGCTGGGTGCGGCTGGCCCTGCTCGGGCGGCTGAAAGGCTGCTCTGTGCTCTCGCCGCAGGATGCGGCGCGTGGCCAGGCGCTCCCGCCCCGCCCCCAAGGGACTGCCCCGCCCCGTCCCGCTCCGCCCCACCCCACCGCCTCCCACCAGGGACCGGAGCTTCCCCACTTGAGGTCCTGGGGCACTTATTCCACGCGTCAGCGGACCAGCCTCCTCGCGCTCCCGGAGAAGGGGGTCGGCGACGCGGAGGCGGGGTGGGGGCCGTAGGGGATGGAGCCAAGGCGCGCGCGAGAAGAACCGAGGAAGTAAGTAGTCCCGAAAGGGGGCGGCGGTGGGGCCCCCAGGGAGGCGTGGAGCGCGCCGAGGGGCGCCTGGGGGCACTGACCTGTGGTGCGGCCCCCAGGACAGGCCCGAGAAGCGGTTCCACAGCGGCAGGTCCAGCACCTCCATGCCTGGAGGCATGGCGCCGTCCGGGAGCGGCAGGACGCCGAGCATGGGACGGCTACACCTGTCTGGGCGCGGGCCCGCGGCCCCCACGCTCTCCACCCAAGTGCCCAGCGCTGCAGTGCGGCCCGCTTTGGCTCGGGGTGTCTGCCTGAGAAGCGCCTCACAGAGGGACCCGGGCGGTGGTCGCTGAGGCAAAGTGGCCCACGCACCCCCCACACCGCCCCCGGGCGGCCGCACCTGGCACTCCTGGCCCTGTGGGGCTCCTGCCTTTTTTGGGGGGAGGGGGGAAAGGGTGGGGAGACCGGGTCTCACTTGTCGCCTGAGCTGCGATCACGGCTCACTGCAACCTTGAACTCCTGGACTCAAGTGATCCTCCTGCCTTGGCCTGCCAAAGTGCTAGGATTACAGGTTAAGCCACTATGCCTGGCCCCCTCTTTTCTTCACTCTTTTATGCATTCTTTTCTTGTTTCCACATGCATTCATTTGTCCGTTGCTTTGGTTGTTCCTGTTTTGATGCTTAGGGAAACACTGAGCGCCAAGCCGACCGTCGGGTACTGTGGTGTCTGGGATGACAAAGACATGGCCCTTTCCCTCTAAGACGTCACATTAAACTGACAAGTTCATTCATTCTGGCTTTTCTTTAAAGTGCGCGATCACGAAAGTCTGTGACAAGGGCCATGTTTCTGAGATGTTAGAAAGTGCGATGGGTGCGCAAGGAAGAGGAGAAGCGAGTCGCCCTGCGCCCGCGTCGGGATGAAAGGGAGGGAGCCCGGAGGGAGCGTCAGAGTGGCCCGGCGGGCGCCGAGGGAGGGTGCACGGCCCCAGGGCTGGACTCGCAACCCCAGGGCCCTGCCGCAGCCACCGCTGCTCTTCCCTCTTTGTGCATGAAAGGAAGTCGCCTGTGGGAAACCGAACAGACAATCGGTCGCGGTTCGTGAATCTTAGAGATGAGAGTCGGCAGTACATGACCGAAAGCCGTATTCGGCTTCTAGTGATGTTGGCTTGATAGTTTGGACGTGGCCGACAGCCTCCTAGAGCTGGTACCCCTTCTTTTCACGAGGTAGCAGCAGCAAAGTCCGCAGTGCCAGGCTCTGTGAGTCTGCAAGCGTTTAAAAGATCTCCGGGTTTAGCTCAGGCAAGTAATATTCTGCCAGGTATTAATTTTAATACGCTTGTCCAGGTAGAAGCAATTGGACAGACTATGTACATAAAAGCATACATAATTGACCCTCTTTTAAGTCACTTTCAAGGGGTTATTAGGCAAAAATGCCTTGGTTTTGAGCCGCTTTCATCGGAGGTGTGCAATCATCCAGCCTGTGAATAGCAACTGCACTCCAGCCTGGGCAACATAGTAAGACCCCAACCTTTTGGCACCAGGGACTGGTGATTTTTTTCCACGGAAGGTGGGGGGTTGAGGGGAGGATGTTTTCGGGATGAAACTGTTGCACCTCAGATCAATAGGCATTAGAGTCTTACAAGGAGCACACAACCTGCAACTTAGATCCCTCACATGCGCAGCTCACAGTAGGGCTTCTGCCCCTTTGTGCCCCTTTGAGAATCTAATGGAAACCGCTGTTCTCTTGCTCAATGCTCACCTCCTGCAGTGCGGCTTGGTTATTAGAGGGCCACAGACCTGTACCAGTCTGGAGCCCGGGTTTCGGGGACCCCTGTAGAGGGAGAAATAGTTTCAAAAAGGAGATCTGGGGATCTCAAACATTAATGTGCACATGAGTCACGAGAGCTTTTATTGAAGCAGATTGATTTAGTAGGACCTGAGGTTTTGCACTTCTAGCAAGAAGATGCTACTGCTGCTGCTCCCACTCTGTAAGTAGCCAGGTTCTCAGAAATATTTAATCTGAGTGTGTGCAGGAATTGAGGGGGAGAAGACTGAGTGGAAAATTACTGGAGTCAGATGACTGAAGGATTTATTATAAATATAACACATACTGAAGTTTTCAGCCATCGAATCTAATCGTTCTCAATTAGTAAATTTAATTCTCAGTAGGCATTAAGTTTTTAACTTTCAAAAAGTCAGTTGTTTGTGGTAAAGATCGTGGCTCATTTTTCAGTAGGTAGTAATAGACATTGTTTTGTGCTGTGTTAATTCTTTCAGGCATCTGTGTTCTGTTCTGAATATCATAGCACAAAAAGTTTTGTGCCCTGACTCAAATTTGTAATGACCAGTAACCAAATAACACAAGAATCTTTTGCTCAGCAGTGTTTTATAATATGACATTTTAATTTTACAACCTAAAGGTCTTAAATTTCTCTAGCAGTTTGTCTTCATGTGGACGTTTCACTGATTTAGTGTTAAAAAGGAAATTTTTAGCCGGGCGCGGTGGCTCAAGCCTGTAATCCCAGCACTTTGGGAGGCCGAGACGGGCGGATCACGAGGTCAGGAGTTCGAGACCATCCTGGCTAACACGGTGAAACCCCGTCTCTACTAAAAAATACAAAAAACTAGCCGGGCGAGGTGGCGGGCGCCTGTAGTCCCGGCTACTCGGGAGGCTGTGGCAGGAGAATGGCGTAAAAACCCGGGAGGCAGAGCTTGCAGTGAGCTGAGATCTGGCCACTGCACTCCAGCCTGGGCGACACAGCGAGACTCCGTCTCAAAAAAAAAAAAAAAAAAAAAAGGAAATTTTTAAAAAGTAGTCTAAAGAAGTGTGAGCTAGGCCGGACACAGTGGCTCGCACCTGTAATACCAGCACTTTGGGAGGCCAAGGAAGGTGGATTGCTGGAGCCCAGGAGTGCAAGACTAGAGTGGGCAACACAGCGAAACCCCGTCTCTACTAAAAATACAAAAATTAGCTCGGCATAGTGGCCCACGCCTGTGGTTCCAGCTGCTTGGGAGGCTTGCCTGAGCCTGGGAGGTCGAGGTTGCAGTGAGCCAAGATTGCGCCACTGCACTCCAGCCTGGGCAACAGAGACCCAGTCTCAGAAAGGAAAAGAAAAAAAGAAAAGAAAAGGAAATGTGAGACAGGCTAGTAGAAATGCAACAATTTTAATTTTCTAGGATGGGCAGACAAAAAATATTTATTGTGAAGAATATGGGGAAGGAGAATATGATAAAATAAGAGAAAAATGATGCTTTTTTTTTTTTTTTTTACCTACTTTCATGCTTTCCAAAATGTTGCAAGTAGTGTTCTGTATGTTGTAGACATTAATTCCTTGCCAGTTTTAAACATTATAAATATTTTCTTCCAGTTGTCATCTATCTTTTTGTCCATGTGTTCTTCCTTGGATGAAAGTCCTTAATTTTGGTATAGGAAATCAAAATTAAGGATATTAATCCTTATAGCTTGTGCTTTTATGATCTTTTTAAAGAAGTTGTTCTCTACTCTTAATTCATCATTCTTCTGTATTTTCTGTAATAGTTTTATCCTTCATATCAAATTCCATTGTACTTCAACTTTGCATGTGGTGGGAGATATTAATGCACCTCGATTTTTCAACATCAAGTAAGCCAGTTTTCAGCAAGCTATCTTATAATTCAGGGTTGGCTATTTTTTTTTTCTGTAAAGGTCAGATATAAATATGTAGGGTTCGTGGATTGTACTTTCTCCTTTACAACTATTTAACTATCTAGTGTAAACATAATCATACACAGTATGTAAAGAAGAGAGTGGCTGTGTTCCATGTATTATGAAATATTTATTCTTCTTTTAATTTTTTTTTAAATAGACTATTTTTAGATCAGTTTTAGGCTTATTGCAAAATTTTACAGAAAGTACAAAGTTCCTATATATTCCCTGCTTCCACATACGCATAGCCTCTCCCACACTATTAAAATCCTACACCAGAGTAGTACATTTGTTATAATTGACGAATATGCATTGACAAATCATCACTCAAAGTCCATACTTTAGGGTTCACTCTTGTGTGCAGGCTGTAAGTTTTGACAAATGTATAATGACACATATCTACCACCAGAGTATCATACAGAATAGTTTCACTGCCTGCTGTGGGCTGAATGTTTGTCCCCACTTTACCAATCCCCCTCCCCCACCAAAATGTATATGTTGCAACCTAAATCCCTAATGTGATGATATTTGGGGATGGGGCGTTTAGGAGGTAATTAGGTCTTGAGGGTCGAGTCCTCATGAATGCAATTAGTGCCCTAGCACCCATATAAGAAAAGACAGGAGAGAGATGATCTCTCTCTCTCCACCATATGAGGATATAACGAGAAGATGGCTGTCTGCAAACCAGGAAGAGCACCCTCACCAGACACGAGGTGTGCTAGCGCCTTGATCTTGGATTCTGTCGCCTCTAGAACTATGAGAAATCAATTTCTGTTGTTTAAGCCGCCCTGGCTGTAGTATTCTGTAATAGCAGCCCAAACTGATGAAAACACTACCTAATCCTTTGTGCTCCATCTATCCATCCCTCCCTCCAACCCCTGGCAACCACTCATCTTTTTACTTTCACAGTAGTTTTTCCTTTTCAGATAGTTGGAATCATACAGTATATAGCCTTTTCATATTGGCTTTTTTTTTCATTTAAGCATTTGGCATTTTTGCATTTAAGCTTCTTCTTTGTCTTCATGTGGCTTGATAGGTCAATTCTTTTTAGCACTGAATAATGTTCCATTGAATGAATAT